CATAAAAGGCAATAAAGAAAGAAAAATCAAATATAGGAGAAAAAAATTTTTTATTAGTTCTTTATTTTTTATTGATTAACCTGGATGAAAATGTTGCTATGTATAGTAAGCAGAGGACTAATCTTAAAGTCAGAAAACTGGGTTGAGCTTTTTAAGATAGTAACAAATTTACAGACTGTATGATTTTTCATCTCAGAATCAAAGTACTGCAAAGAATGAAATGAGTAACTCAGATAATGTTCTATCCAATACAGGGAGTACTATGCATGGATTCATCAAAGTTATCTGATAGAGACAACACTTATTTTTTTTTGAAATAGCAATTCTATTTTATACAATTAAATTTAATAGAAAGTTTTTAAATACTGAGTCAACATGGGCCTCAGAAAACGTTTATCCACCAACTCTAAGAAAAAGCTTACCTCTGTAGTTTATTAGCATGAGTACCATTCTCTTGCCACAGGAGAGACAACTTTTTGCATATTTGACAAGCTCATCATTTCACTCTTTCAAGGAAACATGTCTAAATTTTTTTCAACTATTTCTCACATTATATGATTTCCAGATCCTTTACCATTCTATTCCTTTTCCTGTAAAGAAATTCTGGTTTATCAATGTTCTATCCTATTAAAAATGATATTATAGGAAGTTTCCCACTTCAAGATGACCAAATAAGATCTTTGCCCCCCTGGTAGATTAAAGATGGTTGCAAATTCTTGCATACTCCTCTCATTGAGAAGTGGAGTCTAATTTCCCTCTCTGAATCTGGTTGGCTTTAGAAATCTACTTGGCCAACAAACACAACGTGGCAAAGTGACTGCGCTTTCCGAGGTTATGTTACAAGAAACCCTGTAGCTTCTACCTAGGTTATTTCAGAACACTTGTTCTTGAAACTCAGGTGCTACAATAATATGAAGCCCAAGAAGCCCCATGCTGAATAACTTGAGGTCCAAAACCAATAGTCCAGCCAAACTCCAGGCCAACAGCCAGAATCAATTTGTCAGTCATTTAAGTAAACCACCTTAGAAGTAGATCCTCCAATTCACAGTCAAGCCATTTTGTCCAAATTGCATATCTGTGTGCTAGATAAATGACTGTTGCTTCAAACCACTAAATATTGGGGTGGTTTGTTACTCAGCAACAGAAAACTGGAATACCGCTATCTTAATAAGAACCCCAAAACATAGATGATTGAAACATGAACTCTCTATTTGATGAAACTAGCATTAATAACAAGGGCAGACAGAGAAAAGATTATAACCAAGAGCCTATAGTGGAAGATATAGAAAAGAAGCAAAGTGATTTGCACTACAAAACTCCAAAAAAGATCTTCAGCAGAACTGCAGAAGAAGCTGGGGTAGGGCTGAAAACAAGGAGGCTGTAAAAGAAGCAGACTTTCAGGTCCCACTCCTACTGCATGATTTACTGCATGACTTAATCCTTCATTTTAGTTGAACACATTCTGCAGTAGCTCCCTGAGAAGATAGGAGTAGATGGAAAATTCTGAAATGGTGTTTTCTTCATTCACAGTCAGTTATTTGAATATAGACACCTAGAAGACATCAAGTATGGTCTCTAGACAAAGTGAACAAAAGGATCTGGGCTCAAGACATGTTTGTGTAGGTACTCGCAGATGGAATACAAAGCAGATTAAGTGAAAACCTACATGGTAAATGAAGATTTCTAATTCCTCTTCCACAGCTTCGCTTTAGAATGTCAGCAGTAAAGGTTTATATTCCCCAGGCAAGAAATTGGAGGATCCATCACTAGAGAAACTGAACTATCACAAAGGAAAGCTCTATAGAAACTGATATATGGAGGTCCCAGTAAATAACATAGTCTGCCCCTCCTGTCCCTTGCCTCAACACACATGGCTTCTATTCAGCTTTTACATGTCTTATTCTTATATGTAAACAGAAGAATAAGAATCATCAGGTTTTGAAGAAAGCTCCCAACAAGAAATGGAACAGGCAAAGGAAAAAGACCAATGCCTAGAATAACAAAAAAAAACTTGAAAAATGAAATATCTTCAAAAGGTAAGATAAACCATTTCTTGGAAATATAATGCAAATTGCTTTCTGAAAATATATGACAGTGGATAATATTTTAACATTAGAGTTAGAAGATAAAGCTGAAGAAATCACATAGTAAAGGAGATAAATATTAAGAGCAATGTTATTTAAAATAATTAAAATGATGAGTGTTGGAGGCCCAACATCAAATTAACGAGAATGCCAGAAAGCAAGAGAAACTAAAGAGGATAAATTGACACAGAAAAAAATACAAGAACTAATAAACTCTAGATTTGCCTAAACAAATGGATTCCAGATCAACAAGTTTCATGGGTGCCTGGCAGAATAAATTAAAAAATATATCCATACCTCAGATAAAGAATCGAAAAGCTTCTAGAGGAAAAAACAAAAACAAAACCCAGTCTATAAAGAGGGCTCAGTAAGAATTAGCCCTCAAAAACTTGAAGATGGTTGAGCAATATCTTCCAAATTCTAAGTTTTGATAGATGGGCTTTTTAAAAAATAATTTTCCACTTAGAATCCTATATTAAGTTAACTGACTCTGAATGAAGGATACACCATTTTCAGAATTTTCCATCTACTTGTACCTTCTCAGGGAGCTACTGAAGAATGTGTTCAACCAAAGGAGTAAATCATGAAAGAGGAAGACAAAAGATCCAAACCAAGAGAAATACAACTATACAGACGGCCAAGAGAATACCAAGTTCAGACTGGATTGGGAGCATGGGGGACTCCAGAGTGATGATGCCAATAAAAATATATATAACTGATATTATTTTACAGGTGTTATCAAGTGGAAAGTGATATTGAGAGGTGTTTTACAGAGCTAGTAGAGGAAGAGAAGAGATTGAATAAACTGTAAATGACAAAATATTAATTTTAAAACAAAAAGCTTTAAAAAAAAGGAAAATAATCACAGTGCATTAGTTGGCTTAACAGAGAACAACACTTATACCTGTTTGGCACCCAAGCCATAGCATAAAAATTTAAAGCTGCAAACCATCTTAGACTTATTCTACTTCAACTTGCTGATTTTTATATTGATTAAAAAAAAAAAAGAATTTTTAAGATCTTAAATGACATATGTTAATTAGTGCCACAAATGACAGAAGCATCATCAGTTTCACAAGTGGGAATACTAGGCCATCTATGTTTACAGATGGACATGACTTCGATAATTTGAATATACCAGTGATGCTGGCCTTCTGAGTTCTGGTTCTAGCTCTACTTCTACTAAACATGTAAAATTAGGGAGATAACAACTTCTGGATTTTCAGTTTTCTATAAAATTAGGAGGATACTTTTCCATACTAACTCAGAGTTAACACAAGGGTCAAATTAGATACTAGAATTTAAAAAGCATTAAAAATGATTAAAAAGTTGTTTATATTAGTAGTAATTATTAGTCTTAATATAAATATTATGATGTGAGAAAGAGAAGCATGTTTGGTTGATAGATAAGGCAAAGCAGATACTAGGATAACTTGCCATGCAGAGCAGATGTCCATAACTCTTTTATTCTATTGTTTTACATTTGCATATTCTACGTTCATATTTGAAAGTTTTTTTCAATTAAAAACTATAGCTATCTTTAGTTGACTTCCATTTAATAATGCTTTTTTAAAAAGGCCATCTATCATTAAAACATATATATTTTTTCCCCTCCAGGGTAATGCTGTTTTGGGTCTCAGATTCTACCGAGAAGAAAACTATGAATTTATTCCTCAAAAAAATGTATGTGCAATGTAGACACACTACTTACAAACACACAACAATAAGACAATTTCGAACAATTTCATAGGTTAATGAACAAATCTGGGGAGAGATGTATTTTATATATAATCTTTCAAAACTTTTATATCCTTTTTATTTATGTCTATGTTGATTTATGCTGTCATCCTTAAGATGGAGACTCAATCAGTTAATAATATTATTATTATTTCCCACAAACAATAAAACACCTATTCTATGACACTAAAATACAGGGTGATATACAGTTTGTGCTCAGGTATAAAAGGCTTTTCTTCTCCACTGATAAAGGATATTTTTATTATTATTAAATAAAGGATATTTTTATTATTATTAATTAATTTTATTTATTTAATTTTTAGGTGAAGCAACCTCACAGATTGCAAGGACTTTATCAGCTTACAACCCCTTATTTTTTACACCTATAGCACTTGGTCTTCCCTAGGTGGTCTCTCATCCAAGTACTAACCAGGCCTGACCCTGCTTAGCTTCCGAGATCAAACAGGATTGGGGTTGTTCAGGGTGGCATGGCTGGCCGTAGACAGATAAGTTTATTTTAATCGTTCTTTCTTAATTGAGAGTTTGCAAATAATTTCTTCTAAACATAGTAAACTATTTGATGTTATTTTCAAAACATTAACTCAAGAATTCTACCTTTTGGGACTCGTAGCCTGGTCCACCTATGTGTCCCCTTGATTATTTGGTGGTGTGACTGGCAATATAGCAGTTCCTTGAATAACGTTGTTCCCTTCAACATCATTTCATTACAACATTATAGGAACTTAACTCTTGTTTATATCAATTAGACAATGGCAAATCTAGTTTTATTATGCGTTGTTTCCCTTAAAGTCCCAGAACCTACTGATGATGTTAAGTGAGGACTTACTCTACTTATCAACACATAATGGACAAAGAATGTTTCATTCCCTTAACCTCATTGGCAACATGAATTTACCCTCATTTCTGGCAAAGTGTTTTAGCTTAGTCTGAGTTGTCTTGTTGACTCTGTATTTCCCTATTGTAAGATCAAGATAATCACTTTTCTGTATAGACTGCATTTATAATCAGTTTTTCTGAATATTATATTCCAAACCACATATCATTTTGTTTTTACACTGGCAGTTTTCTTCTTCAGAGTAACTATTAACAATTTTATCTTAATCATAACCTCTTTAGGGATAATTAAAGTATTTTATTTATTTTTTCCACTGTTCTTACTTGTGCAGTCTCTGCATGTTCCAGCATATCTTCAAATTCCTGATACTCTTCATCATCTGGTTCAGCACCTGAGAGTCGAGCTGCTCTGGCCATGAAATATGGAGGCAGCTCTCCAATTGCTGTACCCACACCCTATGTAAAAAAATACTGACATGAGATTCTATTCTCAACAGTGACACTAAACAGATCAAATCGATATTTTTCTACATCATCAAAAGCATGTTAAGATATATGGATTAGGAAGGAAAGCATATACCAGTACATATCAGGAGGATATGAGTTTGAATCCTGGCCTTAAAACTGACCTATGTAACACCAGGCAAAATAATATACATAAAACTCTTAGACAATTCCTGGTGTATTACGTACACTAAATTAATGTTAGTTCTCTAGCATTTCTACTTATACTCCGTTATTTTTTGTCAGTTTATTTTTCCTTTTCAAATATTCAAACAATTTGGTAATGAGCATTCACTAGTATAGCTATTATGAAAATATTTTCTAGGAAATCTTATTATTTAGGATGCTGCTTTAATCCCAACACAATTTTTTTGTGTAGAGTTAAACCTTTTAACAAATTGTGGTCAGGGAGCCCCTTGAAAACTCAAAATTAGGAAGGATAAATTTTCACCACAGGAAAAATGTTTAATTCTTCAGGATACTGAGGGACTCATATTTCAATCTCTTTGTGGATTCTTGTTTTTGAAGAGAATTTTGTTTTCAATCAACTTAGGATATAAGGATGAAAACAAAAATAAAAGATCAGAAACTTGGTTTGGACTTAAATGGCTGAAATACAGGATAGATAATAATGCAAGAGGTACATAGTCTCTAGGAAAATTCTCAATTTTGAGCCATCTTTCTCTGCCTTGAGTCATAGTGAATGAAAAAGCTTTGCTAGTTCTCAGAAGCAATTTTAGGGTTTTCTGTTTGCTTTGTCCAATGGCTCTGCCTACAAATGCCTTGAAAAGAATCCCCAAGGAACATGAACAAATTCAACATTTTGTGATCACAGTGTTATATTCCCATGTGTGGAATCAATGATCTCCAAGTGAAACTGCATTATCTACATGTGAAACAAGAGTTCTGAAAAAGGACATACTCATGTGTCAAAAGAATAAGGCTATATTTAGTTAAAGAATGAAGAGAATGGAGAAAGGAGAGACAAATACAGAGAAGGATACAGGAATAAAACACAAATCATACTTTGCTAAACAAAGAAAGTTAATGTTAGTCAACTTTGGAGAATACTAGAGGACTTATTTTTTTAAAAGCTGGTAAATAAAGAGAAATAATCAATTATTTATCCTTTCTAACCTATATGAAAGATATCTCAGGGTAATAAAATTGCTGATAAAGAGAAATTTTTCTTAAAAGTATTCCAGCCAATAACTAAAGAAAAAAATGACGTAATTGGAATACTCCTCCCATTTTATAACTTATTAAAATAATGGATTTAAATAATAATGGTTCTAATATCACACACAAAAAAGGCAATCAGACATTATGTACCTCGTTATAGAAATATACAAGTCTCTGAAGTGTATTCTTGTCAAAAAAATTTTTTTCCAAGCCTCTCAATCTAACTATCAACTCACAGGAAACACAGGGAATGAATGGTCAAATTTAAACTACACCAACTAGAATATAATCAGTAAAATGCAGGCTGTGGGAAACTACTTGACAAAAGTCCAGTTTCAATAACAAATACATTTGAAAAGAAAAACAAAGAAATAAATACAATCAGAAAAATTTGAACACTAACTGGGTAACTGATTTGAAGAGACTATTTCTAATTTCTCTTAGGTGTGAAATGTTTTTAAAGTCCTAAGGTTGATATATTTACACATAAAACATGACATGTTATCTGAGATATGCTTCAAGATAACTGAAAGCAGAGTGGAGAGGGGTATAGATAAAACAATATTAGCCAGGAGTTAATATTAGCTGAAGTTGGGTGATAATACATTGAATTAATTATATAATTCTTTGTCTTTAAAATTTCTTTTTCCATAACAGAAAGTAGGAAGAAAAGTTAATTGCAAAATTTTATTAAAAACATGAACTTCTCTTAAAACCTGTTAAGTCAAATGTTTAATAGTTCTGAAAGCAATCATATGATTCAAACTCATGACAAGTTTCCTTAAAGCTAAAAAGGAAGTAATAATGAATTGAAATGAAATCAAGAGCTACATGTCTTATAATTAATTGGCCATATTTATTATTATATTTTAATTTAATTATGTTCATGTTTTCCCATATTAACAAAGAACAAGAATGGTGATAGTGAGTCAGTATTCTATTTTTTATACAAATAAATAAAAAGGAAATATAGTCATCCAGGCAGTTTCCCCAAAACACATTATATTCCAGGCACAGAAGTTTATTTAGCCAGTTATCTCAAATTAGATACTGAATCATAATTTCATGATTCTTATAAAACAATTTTATAATTCTCAACAAAATCACAACAAAACAGAAAACTGTGGTACACTAAAAACTGTCAGCCTAGGTTTAACTAAGGGGAAGAAATGACAGTTTCCTTAATTGCCGAAGAAAGACAAATGGTATTTGGTCAAGCAATAATTCAGAAAGCTCTTCTAAAAACTCTCTACTACATATCAATTTGTTACCATCAAGTTCCTGTTGCTTGAATTGGACATTTTAATATGCACAAAAGCAAGAAAGAAACAATATCATCCAGGAGTGTTCATTTTATTCAAAGATTTCTGGGAGAAGAAAATTCCTGATTTTTTGTGCTTTTGAAAAGTTTTGTTAAGTGGATTCACATGCAAATCAGCACCATCTTGCTTTTCTATGTAGGGAATCAAAAGTTTACTGGTAAAAATCTGAACAGAAATTTTATACGTATATGCTGACTACTCAGAAATTATGATAATTTTATACTATCAGTGTTTATAATCTTTAAAGACAAAATCATTTTTCTACAAATAAGAATCAGAGGTTAAAAGCAGAAGTTTGGAAGGTAAGTTTGAAACCACTGAGAAACTCGGGGCTCTTACAGCTATGTCTAAAAAAAAATTACACTAACTCTGATAAAACTATCAGATTGTTACAAATAAAAAGAAAATTTGCTTCCAGTTTTCTTTGGGGTCAGTTTTAAAAAGGCCCTAGAAAAAATGAAGTTCTGATGCATGCTACAACATGGATGAAACCTGAAAACATTATAAGTGAAATAAGCCAGACACAGGAAGACAGACGTTGTATGATTCCATTTACATGGGGTAGCTAGAATAGGTAAATTCACAGAGGCAGAAAGTAGAATAGAGGTTACCAAAGGCCGAGGAGAGGAGGAAATGAGGAGTTACTGTTTAATGAGTACAGTTTCTGTTTGGGATGAAAAAAAGTTCTATAAATAGATATTGGTGATGGCTAAGCAACACTGTAAATGTTCTAAATGCCAGAAAGTTGTAGACTTAAAAATGGTTAAAATGATAAACTCTGTTATATTATTTTACTACAATTAAAAAACCAAACCAAACCATGAACTTAATAAATAAATAAATGCCCTTAAAATGTGATGCTTTCTATCTGAAAGTCCTCACACGTGCTCTTCTTTCCCCTGCCCTGCTGCCATCCCTCTATCCCACTTTACTCCTTATAATCCTTAGATCTCAACTGAATAACAGGCGAGGGAACATTTTTGTGTTATACAGTAGACTTCTCCTTCATAGCACTTATCACATTTTTTTTAGATTCATACATCTATATGTATCATGGAAAAACTATATACTTTATATATAATTATATATATATTTTATTATATAAAGTATATAAAATAAAATTTATTATATAAAGTATATAAATTTCCCATGATACTTATATATAAATTTTCCCATGGTAATTATTTCCCTCACTAGAATATAAAGCTCCATGAGGGTAGAGACTGTTAAGTGTTGCTCATTCTGACCCTCTAGTACCTGGATGTGTAATAATTATTACTGGAATTCATGAAAAAAAAAGAAAATCTGTGAAACTTTGCATGGTGACATAGCTAAACTGTGGAAGATCAAAAAGATACAAACTGAAAGAAGGTAACCTACTGATCAATAATATCAAACAATTTATTTTAACATGTTCTAAAGACCTATATGAAAAAGTTGATCCTCGTCTTTGTCCTATAATAGGAGGTATTACATATTTTAATGACTCAGTATATTTATGACAATAGAGTCTATAAAGATGTTTTACTTTACAAAGTACAAATTAAATAAAAACTTTAAATAAGGTATCAGTTTTTAATTAAGTAAGACATTTCCCTGGACAAAATATATGGATGTAAATACAGACAGTTATTGAAAGAGTAAACTGTAAGAATCAAGTCCAACACACTCTAAATCTAGCTTTCTACCTTAGCAGTACTTTTTATGAGTGTGTCCCATTTAACCATTTTTAAATATAAAATCTAGTGGCATTAATTGCATTCACAAAGTTGTGCAACCATCATCACTATCTATTCCAAATATTTTTCATCACCCAAATGGAAACTATCCACTATGCTTTAACTTCTCATTCCCTAACCCTCTGGTAACCTAGTTTTTGTCTCTATAAATTTGACTCTTCTACATAGTTCACACAAGTGGAATCAGACAATAGTTGTCTGAGTCTGGCTTATTTCATTTAACATAATGCTTTCACAAGGTTTATCCATATTGTAGCATGTATAAGAACTTCATTCCTTTTATGGCTGAATAATATTACATGTATATATTGCATTTTGTTTACCCATTTATCTGTTTAGGGAGACGGGTTGTTTTAGCCTTTCTGATAATATGAATAATGCTGCTGAACAGTGAAGTACATATAACTGTATTTATTCTTGAGTCTTAGTTTTCAGTTCTTTTGGATATTTATGTAGGTGTGGAATTAGAGGAGGGTCATAAGGTAATTCTATGTTTAAGTTTTTGAGAAACCACCAAACTCTTTTCCACAGGAGCTAAATCACTTTACATTCTCACCAGCAATCTATAAGGGTTCCAATTTCTCCGCATCCTCACCAACACTTATTTTCCTTTTTTTAAAAAATAATAGTCATCCTAATGTATATAAAGGGGTATTTCCTTATGGTTTGGATTTGCATTTCCCCAATGACTAATGATGTTGAGAATCTTTCCATGTGCTTATTGGCCATTTGTATATCTTCTTTGGAGAAATGTCTATTCAAGTCTCTTGTCCATTTTTTAATTGAGTTGCTTGTGTTTTGTTATTGAGTTGTAGGAATTCTTTTAACATTTTGATATCAAACCCTTATTAGATATATGATTTTTAAACATTTTCTCCCATTCTGTGTGTTGTCTTTTTGCTCTCTTGATAGTACCCTTTGATATACAAGAGGTTTTAATTTTAGTGAAGTTCAATTTATCTAATTTTTCCCTTTGTTGTCTATGCTTTTAGGTGTTATATTTAAAAAACCACTCCCAAATTCAACATCATGCAGATTGTCTTTATATTTTCTTCTAAGAGTTTCAGAGTTTTAGCTCTTAAGTTTATGTGTTTGATGCATTTTGAATTAATTTTTATATATGGTGTAAAGTGAGAGACTACTATATTCTTTTGCACGTGGATATTCAGTTTTCCCAGCATGTTGAGAACAATGGGAACCAATTTAAACATAACTTGATGTGTGTTATATTTTTTGCATGACAAAAGATAGTTTCAAAGAAGGAAATATGAAGACCAAACATTCAGCCAATTAGTCAGTATTTATTGACATTCTTGTACTATGTGCAAAGCCTAATGCTGATTGCTCTAAGGGTGATAAAGTTAAGGTACAGTCTGTGTTTTTTAGGAGCTTAAAATTTATTTGGGGGAAGTAAACCACTGAACCAGCCAAGTTGACAAATTTAAGCATGCACAGAGCCAGGCCAAATGAACGCTTCAGACAACATGCACTATGGGAGTTTGGAGAAGGCAGTTATCACTGCCAGCTTGGATGGAAGCTTTTCTTTATTTGCATTAATGTTAATTTGGGTATGTAAATCATTTTTGAAAAAACAAAAGAAAAATAGAAAACCAAAGTCTATATACATAATCTCTTTCTAGCATGTTCCAAGTGTCTTCTGTTACTTTAATAAAAATTTTTTATCAAAAGACTAATGTGGTCAAATTTAAAAAACATATGCAACTAGTACAATTTGTTTCTAGTGTTTACAAAAGAGTAACAGGAAACATGACAATTTTTCCTGTCTTTCATATTCAACAAATTCAATGTATGGCATTTCCCTTATAGTTCTTTTAAAACACAACATAATTGCTACCACTTAAATATCTTTGAAAACTCGCTTCTTCTGTGGGCATTGTATTCATTTTTTAAATTATTTTTACGTGATCTCATCCACATTTTTTATTTTATAAGAAACTGTTAGGGAAAAAAGTTACAGAGAATATATAAATTAAAAAATCCAAATGATGAATTAATAAATACTTCAAATGGTAATAGGAAGTCTTTAGCAAATAAGTTCTTCCTCAATGATAAGCACCTGAATGAATTTAAGCACACAGCAAAAAAAAGGAAAGGAATGCTTAAAATGCATCTACCATTGAACATGTAGTACAAATACTTCCCCCAAATACTTAAGTGAATCATAAAAAGAATAATTGGTAAAACTGAAAGGAAGATCACAATATACAACCATATAGTCTGATACTTTCACTACAGTAAAGTTTGGTTTATTAAGAGATGTCTCACTTTACTTCAGTATTATAACAACTCAGAAATGAAATGATTCTTCTAGGAATAAACACAGTATTTAAACCTGGAGAGAGACATAACATTTACCAATCTGGGACTGAGAGATATATAACCACCTGCTATGTGTTTATCAAATATATAATTTTCCAAAGTAGTATAGTTGCATTATCTTTTCCTGCTGTTGTCCACTTGGCATCAATTGCTTCATAATACATATGTCTTCATTCTTTCCTTATGAATGTCATTCATGAAGAGGAGAAGCTCTAAAAGATTTCTTTTACTTGAAAGTAGCTAGTTGATAACTTCATGAATTAATTATCTGCTGATTTGGTATATATTTAGATTCAATTTCAAAGAGGCAAAACAAAGTATCAAGATAGGCTAATTTTAAATAAATGTGAAAACGGACATCTTACCCACATGCAGGCCTCAATCCTAACTTTTGAGATGATGCTCCACAGAGAAATGGATCCTTCAATACCCTCTTCATCTGGACAAATAATCTGATCAGGATAGGGTGGTTCAGGGAAATTAACTGAATTGCATTCATAAGCAGCCAACGTAACTGAAGCTATGTGTGGACCCTATAAAACAAATATGAGAAACCTCTGATTAGAAAAAGCAATGAAAAAGGAATTATCAATACACATTATATTTATAGTACCTTAATCACTATATAATAATAGAAAAACAGCATTAAAAGAACAAGAATCTAACTAAATATTTCAAGATACAATTGGTAATTTGAAAAATTCCTTCCCAGAATTCTTTCCTGGCTGGCTTTAAAAAAAAAAAGTCAGTACATATAGTTAAGAGTCACTTTTTTAGGTCAATATTACATGAATTTGACAAATATATTCAAGCTGTATAATCATAACTAATCAAGGTATAAAACATTTCCCTCACTATAAGTTCCCCTATGTCCTTTTGTAGTCAATCTCCTTCCTCCAACACTAGCCCCTAGAAACCAGAGGATTTCTGGCTTGACTGACTTTACTTATCAATATTTCTCATTTATAAGAATATTATTCCCCTTTGATAAAACCTTCCTGTGCCCCTATTCCTTTAGGCGTAATTTGAGAATATCGCTTTTTGTTCTTAGACACATCTTTTTCACTGAGGTCCTAAAATAAAAATAAAACTGTAGAACCAGTATCGGTGAGTTTTTCTTTTAAAGGAATTTTTTCTATGGAAGCTTTTGTACTACTTTTTACTTTTATTTTGAAATATTACAAATTAATAATAATTATATAGATTAAAATGGGTTAATATCTAGGTGTGTAATAAAGGCTTAAACTCAAGGGTTCCTAAGGCAAATGTATGCCAGGTTGAGGTGTGTGCATAGAAATCAACTAGGGAGTTTGTAAAAAATATAAATTCCTGGGTCCTTTAAGAATAGATTTATTGAACAGGTAGGGGTAGGAACCTGCACGTTACAGATAAGCTTCTTTAGAGTTTCAAATAGGTTAGGTTCTAATAGGCGAGGTTTTTGAACCATTGGGAGAATAGTAAATTAAGGGTCAGAAAATAAGCAACCTCAGACAAGTCACTCAACCTTTCTGGGCCTCAGTTTACTCTTCTGCAAGGCAAGAGAATTAAGACTCATTTTATGGTTTTATCCAGCTCCGATATTCAAAAACTCCAAATATAATCAAATATGTCAATAAAATCTAATGCTAATTTCCAAAGTTCTCATGAGGTTTAAGATCTAAAAGTTGGGCATTATTAACATGTTGCTCTAACACACTCGGTGTAAGTATTCACTTTAACACATACTGCAGATAAAATTTATAGCATAATAGCCGCAAGCAGAACTTCTAGAGCCAGATGTTCTGGTTTAGGTTCTAGTCTCTGTCACTTACCTTCTGAGTCTTGCTTTCCTCATCTATAAAATGGAAATAATAAAATACCTTCAGGATCTACATCCTGGGGATATTGTGAGGTTTAAATTAGTCAACTCATATAAAGTGTTTCAGGTTAGAACAGTGCTGGGCATTATAATAAGTCCTCAAAAATTACCAGCAACCAGCTGTTATGAAGAAAATTACTGTATTTGTGGAATAAAATTATATGTACATATACACACATACATATGTATGTGTATATACACATATATATGTATGCATACATATATGCACATAACAATAAGTGGTCTCTGTGAAATCAGTGAAAGAATTTGTGGTTTGAAGACAAAGTGCATAAGATGCAGTGATAAAAATAAGACATTAAGAATACCTAATGCTACCAAGATAAAAAACAATAAACAACAAAATTTTTGCATGTTAATATAAAAAAAAGATATTCATAAATTTAAGCTGTCTTTCTCCCTAAATGCAATAGGTATTTTTGTTCAACAAAATCTAAAAAATGAAGTTCTCTACTTAGCATTAAATCAACTAATTATTAGGTTTCTTCTAAACCAAAAAAAAAAAAAAAAACCCCAAAACTGTAAATTTTTAGTTGGTTCCTCTTTTTCTTGAGTTTTTATTCACAGAAATCCACAAATAGTAATATTTAAGTTAAAAAAGTAATTATAGTAAGCTTTTAAAAAGAATGCTTTTGAGTATTCAAGTTTTTTTTTAAGTTATTAGCCATGAAATCTACAATTGTTTCTTCAATACTATGTGTATAAAAGAGATTTCACAAATGAGGAAAAAGGGAGTATTTTGTAATATGCTATAAAACCCCAAAAACCTAAGTTTAAAGTTTGGTGAATTCAGAATAACTGAATAATTAGCGAAAAAATTTTCACTATATGCTTATAGCTCAGTATTAGTTGCAATTAAAAAAAACTGTAACCTCCATCTTCACTGTTTGAAAACACAAATGAGAAATGTAATACCAGTAAGTAAAAGAATAAATTCACGGTATCACCACACAACTGTCTCTTATAGACTGCAGGAACAGTCTACCCCTCAATTCTAAAAAAGAATTTAAGTAAACAAAATTTGAACTGTCCTGGATGCTAAAATAATGAGATTTCTGGGATATATAAGAAGGAAAATACTCCATTTCTATTCCAGAAATAGAGATAAAATATGTACAACAGATTAAACATGTTATCCAAGAAGACAGAAGACTTATTCATCGTTTTAATTTTAAGTGATTCTAAAAAGGGAAATTTTCAGCAATCTCATGAGAATTTTTTCCCTAAAGAAAGGACGGTTCATCCACACAACTAAACTGATATATACTTTCCATAACCACACTAATAAGTCATGATTACTCAGCCTTAGAGGCAGATGTGGTGGTTCCCGGACAAAATGAACACAAATAACTCAGCTTCTTGTTCTTTGTTCATTCTCAAAAGTCCACTTAGCCTTTACCTTGACATGTTGATTAAAACTATGTTACCTGATAGGAAACATTAACCTGTTACAGGTTAATGGCTCCTAAATATAACTGACCTGACTGAAATAAATATTAGTTTACATAAAACAAAAAACTAAAAAAATCATTTTAATTAAAAGAATTTTAAATGTTATACATATTCAAACTACCTTTTAAGTGTATTTTCTAAAACATACAAGTCCCACTACTATGTATCGAATACGAAAGAATCACATTTCAACCATACTAAATGAAGAAACAAGGAATTAAGACAAACAGCATAGCATAAGTAGAAAAGACTACCTAGAAAGAACCACCATAAAACATAAAAATAACACAATATCCTGAGCAGGAGGTTCCAGCTCTCATGGGACGATGCAGGTGTTGATATGTATGGGCTAGAGATCCTAGCCCTATGGCTGAGGGTTTTCCATCTGAGATCATGAAGTAAGTGGTACAGACTTTCACTCCTTCAGCAAAAAACTAGAAAAATGAACAGAATTTATGGAACAATTCTTTTCAGACATTGCACCACAGGCATTACAGGACTTCTGACTGCTGAGAGAATGGATACAAATGAGGAAACCCTACGATGACTCTGGCTTTTGATGTGAGGACATGTTCTGTGTCTATTGCAAAATCCATGGCCCAAAGAGGAGGAGCCCAAGTACAGCACTGCAGTCTTGCTAAGTGGAGAAGGAAATCTGAGTTCATGGAGGATGAGTAGTTGAAATTTGAGGGGCAGAATACTAGTGAAGAGGGAGCTATGTGGAAAAAGAACTCTAGAAACATGCATAAGGGTCCTCTTGAGACTTTGGCATACAAAGCTGCATTGCATGCTAGGATGAGATTCCATGAGGCCAGGCAAAATACAACTAGTGGGAAAGGAGCTAACACGGAATTATAAGTTAAACAAATTCTAGAGTTCATACAGTGCTGGGAAACACTTGAGCTTCAATCAGCTAGAGTGAAGAGACTCAGCATTCAGGGAAGAACTTTGGAAAGAGCCTAGAGTAAAAGTTACTTGAGACAGACCATAACAGGATTTTTTAAAAACTTTAAACAGATCAAGCTGATCCATAAGTAACTTAACTGCCTACCAAAAATGGACACTCTGTAAAGGAAGACAACAAAATCTGTACAATCAACTATTTAACACCACGTATCCAGCATCTAATAAGAAATAACTAGATATGTGAAGCAGAAAAATATGACTCATAACTGGAAGAAATATTAGTCAAAAGAAACAGACCCAGAAATGTTGGAGATAATGCAATTAGCAGATAACTTAAAAACAGTTAATATAAACATGTTCAAAGATTTAATGCAGCAGTTGGCAACTTCAGCCCACGAGCCAAAGTCAGCCCACCATCAGTTTTACAAAGTTTCAAAGAATACAGCCATGTGCATTCATTTACATATTATCTCTGGCTAATTCTGTGCTATGATGGCAAAACTGAGTAGCTGTGACAGGCTCTTTGGGCTACAAAGTCTAAAATATTTACTGCATGGTCATTTACAGAAAAAATTTGCTGATCCATGATTTAAAGAGAAATATAAATACAATGAGCAAAGAAATGGAAAGTATAAAATATAACAAAATGAAACTTCTAGAGCTAAACATATAATATCTGAACAGAAAAATTCATTAGATTGTCAACAGATTAGACACTGCAGAAAAATTAGAGAATTTGAAGAGAGGACAATAGAAAGTATCCAAATTAAAAGACACAGAGAGTAAAGGTATGAAAAAAATTAACCTCAATAACCTGTGGAATAATACCAACCAGTCTAATATACATGTAGTTGGAGTCCCATAAAGAGAGGAAAAGGTGTATGTGGGTGGGTGAGGGTAGGGTTGTATACAGAAAAATACTTGAAGAGCAGCCAAATATTTTCAAGATTTGTTGAAAAACATCAATCCATCAACTTAGAGATCTAAGAAACCCAACAAACTTCGGTCAAGATCAACACAAATAAAATATAATCAAACTTCTAAAACTCATAATGACATCTTAATCAAACTGTGATAACTCAGTAATAACAAGAAAATCTTAAGCAACCAGAGGGGATAAAAATAACATACTATCTAAAGGGAAATACAGATGAGACTTCTTATCAGATATAATACAAAACAAAACACAATGAAATAACTTCTCAAAAATGTTTAAAGGAGAAAAAATATGTCAATCTAGAATCCATGGAAAATATATTTCAAAAATAAAGATGAAATAAAAACATTTTCAAACAAAAG